GGTGGGTGACTCTCTACTCTGTATCACTGACCTCTACAGACTGCTGTCTTCTGTAGCGACATCGTTGGGCACATTCAGGGGTGGCCAGATCTTTCGTTATGAGTCTTGGTTGTCTGTCCTGAAGTGGAAGAGAGAGGTTTGAAATGGAGAGCCCAGGGAGCTTGTGTGCATCTGGGCTGTGTGTACAGGCATGATTGTGTATACACTGTGGGCATAAAAGGTCGTTTAATCTGATTTTCTCCTTTACTTGTGTCTTTGTTTTCAAATCATGAATCATGAGTATAGGTTTTGAGTTCATTTTCGGAACGTGTTAAAGAGCAATGCTTTTTCCATAGCCTAAATGTTAGTTACCTATTTCAGAACATTTCACCAGAGAATACATGGCAAATGGTCATGGTGGGAATGACCCCATCACACACTTACAGAGAACCTACCACGTGACCTCTGCTTTCATTTAATTGTGCTCTGTTTGCATGGTCAGCCTCACTGACATGTCTGGGTGTTTCTGCCAGGCCCTGCTACAGTTCTGGCCAGTGATGATGCTATGTTTGGTTTTACCTGCTTATGTATATCTCAGTGTAAATCTTATGAGTTATTATTTCCCTAAATCTTCAGCACTATTCCAAAAATATCAACATTACTTATTTCTTGTTTATCATTACTTACTATATTGATTTCTCTTTCGTGAGCAAATATATTTTGTAGTTTGAAAAACACACAAATACAAATGTATAAATTATTTGTTTAACTAGATTTTAACTATTATCAATAACTCCTTACCTTTTGTTTCCTAAGAGTACTTTTGCTCTGTTTTCAGTTTTCCTTATCTCTTTTCCCTCTTCTTATTGGCTTTAGTTTAGATATTTATGGTAATTATTTTCCTCCCATTTCCAATTCTACGAACCTATGAAGTGTGAGTTACAATGAATCTGATTATCAGCTCGGATTCTAAAATACACTTTTCAAAATTCTCTGATTCACCACAGTGACCTAGCACTTCTTATGCTTTCCTGGATTAAACTTAAACCCATTATCCAAAGTGAGGTACCACAAGATCTGAAGAATGGGCTCCACTTGTACTCACCATCAAATTGGTACTAACTGATGAACACTAGGGTGCTCACATGGCAGTAACATTCTTCAGGCATTAGGGGGATGGGGGTGTAAACTCATGACTAAAGGACACGGGGAGCATTGTAGGGAGGAAGGGCATACCTCTAACCCTCGCTTGGGTGAGCCAAAGACATGAAGTGTAACCATAATGTTTGTACCCTCATACTACCCTGAAATAAAAAAAAATTCTCTGTTTCAAATGAAGTGAAAGGAAGGGTTGAAAATCAGATTTTATCTGTGCGGATGCACACACATACGGGCACACACACACAGATACAATCCCAAGGCTTCACAAATTACCTTACTCCTCTCTGGCTAAAATACATCTTTTTCTGAAAGCTTAGAGACCTGTAGCATTGAAAGGACCCTGGGATAGAAGCACCTAAGTCAACAGGTTTCCTGTTGTTCCATACCCAACCATTTATTCAGAACACTTTTGATTCAAGTCATTCTTATTTAGGGTCTATAGATGTGTGTTTGGGAGATCTTTACATATGAAATTTATTGATCACTAAATTACAACATTTTCATGTTAGAGACACGGTACCAAAAGAAAAGGACAACCTTTATTATAATTTAACTTATTTGCCTGTAATATGACAGACTTGGCTTAAGTTATGGTCAAATTTTAAAATTTATGAAAATATACTTCTCTTGATGGTTATAGAAAGCATTATGCCAGAATCCACAAAGAGTGGCTTTGCCCAAATGAATTTGGAGGATGATTGGAAATTATGGAGGCTTACTTACTAGGGAAGGAAGTTTTTAAAAAATCATTAATGTGAGAAATGAAAAGACTTCATTTATCAATACTTTGTTGGCTTGCTTAACTTGCATTTACATTTGAAATAAAAATTACTCATTTTATGTTATTAGATACATAAATCCATCTTACATTTAGTGTTCATTTGTGTTAGTTTTTCATCTCTTGTAACGTGGCTATATTGCATTTTTCACGTTTGTTCTATATGGTGCATGAATTCACTCACAGTCTCTCTCTCTCTTTAGTTCTTTTCTACGGTTTCAATACAGGATTCTTTCACCTATTTGTTCTATATGAGTACTTTTCATGTCCAAATTATTCACTCCTTTTCTGTCTCTGTGCTTTCGTGTTCACAGTCTTTGAAGACAGATGTGACTCTGCTGTACAAACTTGGTTCATTAGCTTTTAAAAATGCACCACAAGAGCAGCAGAACGGGACCCATTTGTACTCACCATCAAATTGGTATTAACTAATCAACACATAAATGCACATATCAGGACAACATCTATTGGATGCTGGGGAAGGGGGAGGGTGGTGGGAGGAGGGGGGAAAAGGGAGGAGGGGAGGGGTACTTGTATACACAAGGAGGGCAATGCGCACTACCCGAAGGATGGACATATTTGAAACACGGACTTCGGTGGGGAGGGGGAACCAAGGGCAACACACGTAACCTAAACATATGTACACTCATAATTTGCTGAAATTAAAAAAAAATGTTTTCTCTTTCTTTCCAAAATAATATACACCTTGGTTTAAAACGATGTAAATAAAGGCAATAGATGTGAATTGCCACACGTGAAATTCCATTATTTATTCAGGGAGGCAGCAGTGTTCAACTCAGGTTAAGGTAAAAGGGAAGTGTTTGGATTTCATGTGTGCTGAATTTATTTTTTGATGTTAGGCGTATTTGTTGGTCAGATATTTCTTAAAATTTCAAAATTAGATTTATCTTAACAAAGGCAAATTGTTTTATGTTTTAGTAGTATTTTAAAGTGGTTTTGAATTCTTTAGCCTCATCGTGTGATCCCACGTTTATCCTGGGTTGTGCTCCCTGCAATGTGATCTGCTCCATCATTTTCCAGAGTCGTTTTGATTACAAAGATCAGAATTTTCTTACCTTGATGGAGAGGTTCAATAAAAACTTCAAAATTGCAAGCTCCCCGTGGATTCAGGTGAGTCTAGGATTTCTTCTTCCTGAGAAACCACTTATGCTCTTTTCTCTGACAAATCCTAAATTCTATATGGACCGAGCTGTCGGGTGCATGTTTGAATACTTCTGTCCTTCCCAGAGATTTATGAAGTGACCATCTGGGATAGACTGTTGAGCCCTTTGTTTTACACACAGGAAGTGAATGCCCAAATGTAAGGCTGGATTTCAAGCCCATTAGCTCCTTGACCAGTGGCTTTTCTACTCACCCGCAAAGCCCCACTTCTATAAGGTACTTGGGTGATAGCCCCAAATATGCCTGTATTACTCGATACACATGCAGGCCCTTTTTGAAGACTTCCATTACCCACATGACTGGTCCTCAACACTTAGAGATCTCTTCATAGTATTATTTGGCAAAAGTATCCTAATTTAAGAAGAGAATATCTCCTGAAAGGACTGCAACTATTTGGGACTATAGAAGCTGTCAGGAAACACTGCCTAATGCACGGGTGTTTGATGCCTCAGATAGGAGCCTAGCTGACAAGTTAACTGGGTTAAGAATGACAAAATGGATGGTTTTATGGTGTATGAACCAGAAGTCATCATCGCAATGTCACCCTATCCTCAATTGGCACTATCTACGCTCTGCCTAAAGAATAATTGTTTGATCTTACAGATGTTATTGAACTACACTGATGTATTGTTGGCTTTCAAGATACTTTTCAGAACCACCCCTCTTTTAACATGCTGATTCTGTTTCTGAGGCTGGTTTAAAGAAAGAAAAGTAGCAAGGGCTGGTTTTTCCCGTCGACATCAGCTTGCCCAAACTCCCTTAACCTCTGCTGTCATCTACAAAATGTCAATGCTAATAATGCATGCTGTGTTATCTTACAAGGTTGTAGGGAAGAATTGGTGTGAAAATTGAGAGAATTAACGAAAAAGTATTTAATGCAATAAAGATGATATATGAGTCTAGGAAATGATTAATATATTTGATTCTCAGGTCAGAATTTTCTCCTTCAAATCTTTTTATAAACATAGAGGATTACTATATATGCACAACAAAAATTTCTTTGTCAATATGGACACCATGTTTTATTCATGGTTATACCTATAATTTCTTAGCACGGCTTGGTATATGGTATATATGTTTTTATTACATATTTTTCATTAAATAAATTACTGTGCTCTATTTTAGCTCTGCAATAATTTCCCTGTTCTCCTTGATTATTTCCCTGGAATTCATAACAAATTATTTGAAAACATTGCTCTTACAAGAAGTTATACTTTGGAGAAAATAAAAGAACACCAAAAATCACTGGATGTTAATAATCCTCGAGACTTTATTGATTGTTTCCTGATCAAAATGGAGCAGGTAAAATGTTAGCAACAGTTAAGTT